GGTTTTTTTTCCGTCATTACTGAGCTTAAGCTTGTTTTAAAATGAGACCATTTGTACACCTGGAAAGTCCTGTGGTTTTATTCTTCCTGGTGAACACAGTTAGTGATACTGACTTATATCAAGGTCCGGGGAGGAGGTGTTTAAACTCTCCAGGAGCTCTCCAATCTTCCAGTCCCTAAACAAGAAACCAGACATGTGCCTAGACATTATCAAGCAAAGCAAGAGGATTATTAAGCAAGGCTTAGATTCTGAGGGAGGAAGCTGGCCGGCGTAACAGGGTCAGGCCTTTTCCTGAATACAGCTCCAGCATTTTGGCTCATTCACAGGTCGCAGACTTTGATGTGTCTGCTCTATCTCTTCCATTAGTTCTGCATGCGACTCCGAGTGTCCTCTGCCTCATTAGCATCTTAAGTGTCCACTGCATTTACACCTGAGCCAGAGACACAAGCTGCTTTTTACTGTGCCCAGCATGGGAGGGAAGTAGTAAATGGTGGAGGGGAGTGAGGGGATGGAGGTAAGGAGGTGCAGGCAGGAAGGGTGGACCCCAGATTTCTTTTCTGTCAATTCGTTTTTTACATATGCTGATTTTAAGGCTGTGCAAAGCCTCCTGAATTCCTTTCTCCGTTGTGACCTCTGTCTCTTCAATGTTGTAGAAAACGTGCTTGTCCTCATGCAGTAAGCCAAAAGTTATCAAATGTTTGTCCGATTCTCTGGGTCTTGTGGCCGTGAGAAGCATTGAGTGTTTCCTACAGCTATGTTTCATATAACACATAGACATCTGTAGTCCTAGATCTAGATCTCTATCAGCAAGAGTTTGTATAAAATCTTAAAATAAAATTAACAAGGAAACAGAGTCACATACCACTGCCTTCAGTATATATAACATAAAATGATATTCTTTTCTCTCTCTGTTTTTTTTTTTTTTTTTTTTTTGGTTTTCGAGACAGGGTTTCTCTGTGTAGCTTTGTAGACCAGGCTGGCCTGGAATGCACAGAGATCCGCTTGCCTCTGCTTCTCAAGTGCTGGAATTAAAGGCGTGCACCAGCACCACCCAATCAAAATAGTATTTTTTCAATTCTTGTGGCAACCCAAGACGCCTCAAGGCTATCTAAGCTAGTTATAACAATACTAATGTGTTATGATTATTGTCCCCATTTGTTGTCTTGGTGCAGAAAGTGGTGGCTGAGCTGCCAGGCTTTCAGGGAGAAACAAGCCATTCCACTGAAGTGACCCCCAGGCACACTCATGAGCAAAGAGTAGTTTCATTTGAGAAGTCATAGGTGAAGCAGTGTGGATTCCTGACCACATTTCAACCCTTGGATTTATGGGTTCTTAAGACTCTATGTGACGATTGGGAAGCACACGGAAAAACTTTCTTCTATGCATTTAACCACCATGTTGTCGGCTGGATAGGCTTCCATTCCCTGTGTTGTATATCCGGTACTTTGGTCCTGGAACGTGATCCTTACTTTAATGACCAGACAAACTTCTATTGTTCCAATTTATTTTTATGTAATATGAATAATAAATACCCAGAGCCAGATATTGGGGTTCAAGCTGAAAATCAGAAAAGCAAAGCAGCCAAGCCACCAGAAAGCTCTCACCTTTACGAAGGCTGGGGAGATCCTGTCAATGTGACCGGAGACTAATTTCCAGAATACAAGACTCTGCTGCCATGGTACATACATCTCTAGTGCTGGGATTAAAGGTGTGAGCTCTGTTTCTCTTTTAGACTGACTCACTCTCATGTAGCCCTGAGTGGTCTTGAACTCACAGAGATCCATCTGCCTCTGTCTCCCGAGTCCTGGGATTAAAGGCATGTGCCACTAATGTCCAGCATCTCTGGCTGTGGCTAGCTTTGCATTCTGATTTTGAGGCTTCATTAAATCATAAACAATGCATCATCTCTGTAGGTCAGGTTAGCCTTGAACGCAAATCCCCCTGACTCATCTTTCCAAGGGCTGGGATTATGGTTGTGTACTAATAATGTTCAGCTTTAAGTATTTCTTCTAATTCGATGAGGCAGACCTGCCATCCCAATGTCAAAGTCTAAGAGTGTCTGCTGTTGATGGAAGCCCTAAGCATCTAGGAGAAAATTTCTATGTGGGATATTTGTTTCTCATGATTGGTATGAAAGCCTCCAGTTCTTGGAAATACAGTAGATGAGCCTGGAGATGGTGGTAATGACTGTGTGTGCTTTTTCATAGTGTAACACTAATAATTTGAACATCTGAATAACCCAGAAAACCAATAGGTTTCCATGTGAACATGTGTTGTTACAATTTCATGAGTGTTTTAAAAGATGGTTTATTTATTTATTATTTATATATAAGATGCATGGTGCCAAGGCTGGCTTGAATTCATGATCTTCCTGCATCAGACACTTGATGTCTGGGACAATAATGACAGTATCAATCAAGATACACAATTTAGAATGTTCAGTGAACGAGTTTTTAAGTGGCAGAGTACCCAAAGTCCACTCCTGTTTTTGTAGATTCAGCAGCGGAGGTTCCCAGGCTGTCCAGGAAGACTATTAAAACATTCATACATTTCAGGTGACGGAGAGGTGGAAAGGCCAGCTCCCTTTGAATGTAGTGCTATCAAAGCAACAGGAAAATTCCAAGCAAATACAAGCGCTCAGTTTTCTTCTGTAAGACTAGACAGTAAATGCACATACACACACACACACACACGTGCACACCAGACACGAGAGAGAGAGAGAGAGAGAGAGAGAGAGAGAGAGATGCTCCGTTTTCCTGATTTTTCTCTACTCGCAACTACGAAATTGAAGATCCAGAAAAGTGAGCTACCCTTTTACTTCCACAGACAAGGAATATAAAAGATGTGATTTGAGTGAGTGTCAAGACCCTTATTGTGGATCCCTTTTTTCTTATAAGGAACCTCATCTTGCAGTTTTAAAAGGCACTGTCATTTTCTCTCATGTCTCAGCAAGGGAGGGGTGGCAGGAGTCCCCAGATGTAGAATCCAAGTTTTTATCTGCCCACAGCTGAAGGAAAAGCAGTTACTGGTTACGAGTGACAAGACAGAAACGACAAATGTGTTTTTCTGTAGTAAAGAAACTCAGTTTTATAGGTGTTCTGTTGCTTGACTTGCCAGCCTAGGGATGGCTTAACATTGCTAAACAACAGGAAGAGATTTGGAGATGGAGGCTATGAGGCCCTTTGGGGGTGGGGGTTGCGGGTAGAGGCTTGGCACCCCACAGCTTCTACCCTACTCCAAACTCAGTTCAATGTGCATTATACGTCATGCTGTAGAAGTTGGGAAACACTTTAAAATAATAATGCACCGTTCCCCAAACTTTGAAAAAAATCAGGAAATTCAAGTCTGATTAAGTGAAATGAAATTGTACTCTGAAATCTAAGCCAGTCTTTGCAGGAGCTGAATCACCTCAAGCAGGGCTCAAAGGCTGAAGCCGAGAGGGGTGTTGGGGAAATGAGGAAGTGGTCTCCCCTAAGTGACCTTAAGTCATCCCACAAAGCTCCCCAGAGGTGGAAAGACTGAGTGTTTTGGGGGGTGGGGTGGGGACTGGCTTTCCTGACCCAGCTCTGGGGGATGGGCCAGCTGACTACCTGCACTGTAGCCAAACTCTGCAAGCCTATTTCACCCCCCAACTCCACACCTATCCGATGCAGAGCAGGCCGCACCCTAGGTTTAGTCTACCTTTCTGTTTCTGTCTGACCTTTTGACTAAGACCCGAATTTATAATCAGATCTTATCATGAACAAATAAGCCAGTCATGAAGGTCCAGTAGAAATTAAAAAGAAGTCCACACCAATAGCACGTAGAAGAGAAAAAAAAGAACAGAGAGAAAGGAAGAAAAGAAAAGGAAATAAAAGGCTAGTTAGACTTCACCAAATTACTTGAGCCACTTTTCAAAGACCAAGTGACTGCGCAAATCCGCTCTCATTTTTTCCTAAACAGCGCCACCTACTGTCCATTGTAACTCATTGAACCTTTTTTTCCTTTCTACCTTTTACTTTGGGTGGGGGCGGGGGCTGGGGCCGCAGGGATCAAGGAAAAAGAAGCCAAAGCCTTCAGGTTGAGGGAATAACCGGGCAAACGAACTGTCCAGTCTCGGTGGCACTGAGATTTTGTAAAGTATTTTGAAATCGTTAAATTAAAGGCTCTCAAAAAACAAAAGTCAACTTTAGCGCGCTTCAGAGACAGCCGCTTCCCTTCCTTAAGCGTCCTCAGGGTTATGGTTATCATCGTCATCATTATAGGTGTTCTTTCTCAAGTGTTTCTTTTGTGCGCCTTCATATCTGGGAACCATAATAAGAAGACGTTTTAAAACACTTCTCCCCTCAGTTCTCAGCCCACCCACAGCGAAAACTGTTTCAGCACAGAGGCGTTGACATTTGCCTTCAGCTTAGAAAGTTTGGAGTTGGCAAAAAGAAAAAAAAAAGAAAGAAAGGGTTAACAAATGGCAGACTGGTCGCCCTCTTTTTAGCTTCCTAGGCAGTTTGCGGAGCCTCCAGGTAGCGCGGGCGTGCACACAAACACACACACACACACACACACACACACACACACACACACACACACACACACACACACACACACACACACACACACACACACACACACACCCCGCTATCTTGCCCAGGGCAGTGATTTAACCTAAGAGCAACATTTGGACTTAAAACAAATCACTTATACGCGAGAGGGACTTTATCCCGTCGAGGGAATCCTTTTAACCGAGACAGCCTATTTGCAAAGCAGGGCTCCCCTCTCTGCTGCCGCAGGGAAGGAGGTGGGCGGCATCTGTACGCTGCGTTTCTCTGCACACGTTAACAATCAAGTTAATTGAATTCATTGGAGTTTAGAAGCGGCCTCTAGCTCTAAGAGGGCTTTGAATGGGCAATTTCTCCCTCTTCCCCCCTCACTCCTCCCCGCCTCCCATCCCGCCCAGTCCCTCCCCTCCGGGTTCCCCAGTCCACACCCCCCTCCTCCACTCCCCTCTCCCCCACTCTCGCCGTCCTATTAAAACACCCACCGGCTCACTTGTTAGGACCCCCTTAAGTTGGAGGAGGCAACAACAGCGAGGAAGGAGAAGTCAAGGCGTCTGGAAAGAATTAGCCAGTCCTGGCTTCGAGCAGCCCATTGAACGGGGGACTTGAACCAGCCAAAGACTTCGCTCTTCATTCTGAGCTTCCTAGCCTCTGCTGGGTCTACACCGGGCTTTTAGGCTGATGTGAAAAGGACTTTGCCTTATCGGAGGGAGGGGGATTAGAGAGAATAGCAAAGCGGGGGGGGGAGTTTAATTTATTTTAAAACACGTTTCACAAAAAGAATTAGAAGATTTAAGCACAACGGAAATAAAAGAATATTTAGTGCAATTTCTTCTCAAAGAGGGGAGGACCGAGCATTTAAGGCTCCCCCGTCTTTTTTTTTTAAATGTTGTTTTTAAATTTCTTATTTTTTTTGGCTGGTCGTCTCAAATTCATCTGATTTCATATTACCTCAATTTTGGAGACTGCCTTCCACGACCCTCCGGGACCACACAGACAGGCTGAGGACGAGTTTATGAGCAGGAGCTGAACAAGGTACGTTCCACAGGCTTTGGGGTGAGCTATGAATGCGCCAGAAAGATCCGGGGCAGGGAAGAAATTATCCACGGGGCTTGAAAAAATATTCTATAGAAATACGCGAGGTCTGAAGTGTTCTGTTTTCCACAGACTGCATATTAGGGGAATATCGAGTCCCGCAGCATACCCTGGCTTTTATCGTCCTTGCGCTAAAGCCAGAAATCCGCTGCCTCTCAGAGCGCACAGGTAACTGTGTGTCCCAGCAAAGCTTATTGTCCCAAGATGGACTTTTCCACTGAGCATCTTCCGGAGCGTCAAAGCGGCTCCGGAGCTAGAAAACAAGGATTTCCACTGTGTAAGGAAAATGTCCTTACCTTCCCACCCCTCCCCTTCTTCCTATCCACCCACCCCCGCCACTATGTGGGCAGGAACACCCTGACACAGTTATGTGTGCTTTAAGAAGAAGAAGAAGAAAAAAGGGGGGGCTCGATTTTTGCTTGCATTGAAAGGGTTAAGCGATCCCGGCTTCCAGCTCCGTTGGGCTGAGACCCCAAGTAAGAAAAGTCCTGCGCCACCTCCCAGCTACCATCCTGGTTCAGCCACTCCCCCCTTTTCCAGGGCCTCCACTCTTTTGCAGTTTCCAAACTCCATTAAAGTGTCAGGCGGGGGGCATCCGGGCTCAGCCACCTTGCGGAAGCCTTTCTGGGGCAAGGGGTCCCTAACGCAGGCGGTGGCAGTCGCCACTGGAGGCGAGATGAGGGCGCGCATCCCTCTTTGCGCCAGGCGGTCCACCAGGAGCCGAGAGGCAGGGCACGCGCGGGGACAGCCTTGCGCTCACTCGGGCAGCTGCACCCCTTCCCGAGCCAAATACGACGTGGCACGGAGCACGCTGGCGCTTCTTTCCTCGGTTGCAGCTGGAGACATCGCTGAGTGGGGGACTTGGGAGCTCTGTCCCTAGACCCTTGCCCAGGGTGGGGTCGAGGGGCCTTGGGAGGCAGAGTGGAGCTGGGAGAGGAGCCAGAGACTGGGTTGAGACGGGATAATCAACACCTTGGGCGGAATTCGTCACGGTGGTTCCCGCCCAGAGTGAGCCAGGGCATAGAAATCGGTCCCCGTGAACCAGAGGGCGGGTCTGGAAGGAGGGTCTATGTAAGGGTGTGAGCTTCCTCTCGATAGAGGCGGCTACCTCTGACCTAAGAAAGGCAGCCCAGGGGAAACAGCTCTGAAAGAACCCTTAAGACTGAGAAGGACAGAAAGCAAAGGTAGTGTCTGAGTATTAGGGCTTATGAGACTCGGGTCTTACTACAAGGTCCTAGGCGCCAGTTTCCACCAGCCCTACACTGGACATGCCCCAGACGCCTGGTCACACTATCCTGACTCAGGTACCCCGAGCCACTAGGGAAGCCAGCTGCAGCAACTGCGTCCGGCCTTGGAACGTGTAGAAGCTCAGCCCATCCCTGCCCAGCTCTCCTCATTATCTCCTGGGACCCTTTACTGCCAAATGAGTCTCCCAGGCAGCTGCACAGAAACGCTACACTCCTTCAACCCACGTGGCTGGGCTGGGATTGCATTTGATGTCACACCCTGGGAGGGGTGTGTGTGATGCAATAGAGTAGGAGTCTCTGATTGGCCAGGAAGGGCTCCCTCCACCCACCTCGCCCCACCCCCCACGCTAGAGGCCAGAGTATATACAGACTCTTAAAATCTGCTTAGTGTAAAGAAAAGGAAATCAGTAGGTTGGCTTCCTTGAAGTTTTGCGGTGCTTACTTGGGAGAGCAGCCTCTCTGCCCATTGTAGATTTCAAGGCTTAGCCTGGGATTTCCTGTTAAAGAGAGGCGGATGACAGTGTACATTTGGAGGTGTTAAACCTGGTTGTGATTTGTTTTTCATAGGTCGTTTTAAAGATAGAGATTTGAATAGGCAACACATATTTGATCTTAGAATATGAGGTGTTTAAATTGAGTGATGCATCTCGGTGGAATGAGCTAAAACAAATATTCATGCCCAGCAACCTATTTATTTACAGATAACGTTTACATTTTGCAAATGTAAATAACTCAAATGTTAAATCTTTCTCTTTGCCTTCCAGCCTATGCAAAATGATTCATTAGCAGGGTTAATGTTTGCATTTTCCTAGATAAGATTAGCTATTCAAATGAGATCATGTTTTTGAATACTGAAACTCTTCTCGCAACGGTTTTCCTAGTAGAGTAGTGGTTCTCTTACATTTTCAGTGAAAATTTAGAGACATAAAGCACAGCTGTGGCCTGTATGTTACGCTTTGTTGTTCAAAATTCTGGACAAACACAAATTTTATGTGGAGATCACTTTACCCGGGATATCATCCTTCCTATTTTCATTCCCTTACCCATTACAAGAGTCAGATGACTTGACACCTGCACTGTAAATGTATTGATTAGATGCATTTTACCTAGGTTCTTTATATTATATCCCAAACTGAATCCAAAATTTACCCAATAAAGTTATCAGCATATACAAATCCAAGTATTTAGAACACGAGTTATTAGCATCGAATTTGAATATCACTTTCTAGAAAGCAAATACTGTATACAGTCAGCTGTTGTGCAGGAAAATGAAACTTGTGTAACGAGTGACTAAGCAATAGTTACTAGAAAGTAAAGTAGCTTGCGATACTCCTTATTGGTTCTATAGGGTGGGAATTCACAGCAATGAGTTTCATAAATGCTTTTCCATTTGGGTTATCTTTACCAACTAAGATTTCTTCTTCTTCTTCTTCTTCTTCTTCTTCTTCTTCTTCTTCTTCTTCTTCTTCTTCTTCTTCTTCTTCTTCTTCTTTCTTCTTCCTCCTCCTCCCTCCCCCCCTCTCTCTCTCCTTCTCCTCCCTCCCTCTATGCCTCTCTCCCCTCCTTCCTTTTTTCTTTTGACATGGTCTCACTCTGGAACCCAGACTTATCTCGAACTTGAAAGCTCTCAGAACCACCACACCTTACTTCAAGACTTAAAAACATTTCTCTTTTTGATTTTTCTTTTTAAAAAACATTTTCCTTTTTGTAAATATTTCCTAATTTGGACACTCTGGTGAAAGCCTTTGTTTTGGGATCCAAGTGGAGATCCCCTTTGGGGAATTTTTATTACACAGTATCTTTATAAATCTGAGAACAAGTAACAAGGAATTGTGTATTATTAATTACTTATATCTTGCATGATGTACAGTCCACAGATTAATGCAATGATGGACTAACTCATAAGCTCTGTGTCTTTCCAAGTTTTTTTCATCCATGCACACCCAGGTTGTGTTCTTCTAGAAGCTGCAAGGATAGGGACAGAGCTCTTGGAAGCTGCTGTGTTAGCTGAGCAAGCATTAGTTCCCTGTATAGAAAACCCATTGCCATAAGTTACCAAAGCATGACTTTCATCATTTTCCCTGGCACAAAAACTTCTGTAGAATGAGTACTGACTTGCTATATATGGCTTTATGTTATTTCACATAAACTGGACATTTGTGCTGCCCTTGACATTATAACACTTCAACCTAAATTTCTAAGTCAAAGTATTAGTAGTCAGGATGATTGTATGTCAAATCCTAGTGAATTCCCTCTCCACTATAAACACAGTGCAGGATGGTGACATTCAGGAGTCCCTTGCCACTTGGGAAGAATGACATTCTAGAAGCACTTGGTTAAGAGTGATGGTGCAATGGAGAGAAATTTGAAGCCTGAAGTTCCATTAGAGTGATGCGGTGGTTAAAAGGCTTTGTATTCTGATCCTGCTTAGTTGGCTCAGGGTCTTTGGTAGAAAAACTAAGGTGAGACTAGAGACGGAAAGGCAAGTTCAAAGAGAGAACAGGTCATAGGGATGAGAGATAAACAGTTGGCGACCACTGAATTTTAACCTTATATTTACTATCCTTTTTTTTGGTCAATGGTTAGCTAGCAGAAAGCTATCATGAGTATCTTTTATTATGAAAAGCCAGTTTCCATCATCTTCGCAGATGCCACATGTCTGCATCAATACTCCCAGTTCTAAAGATTGCACATAGCATATACAGCCTATAGAAAAAAAGAAGCATTTATAAAATATTTAAATGAATTTATGTCAAATAAAGTTCATGTTGCAGTACCAGTTATATATATTGACAGAGTCTGGAGCAACATTTTCAGGAAAAAAACATTCTCTAAGTGTCTCCTGTCATCGCTGTGTCATAATGTGATGGCGTATTGGTCACAAGGTAGAACCTTCAATGGATTTGAGAGTATAATGAGGAGAGGAAGCAGAAAGTGACTTTAGAAATTACTAATCTTTATTTGCATTAAAATACTGGCTTGTATCAACCATAATGACTAAACCATTTCTTTCAATACAAACCCTACTTCAAGTAAATCATTTCTTACATGCACTATCCCTCAAAATGGTGTTGTTCACAAGTCACTTATAGAATGGATACCAGCATCTCATCGGGTAAATATAGTAAAGGCCATGGAAATGAAGAATTTAGTGTAACCCATGTTTATCCATGATGCTGAAGGCTACAATACTAAAATTAATGAGTCTTGATGCTCTTTTCCACAGGACCTTCAAAAGTTTGTGTAAAGTATAATGCTGGTATAAGGCAAAACTTGGATGGAAGCAACTTGTTTTAACCCCTAATTCTTCTGTGCTGTTCATTATGTCATGCTTTCTTAATTGTTAACTAACAAGTAGCAGTGAGTTACAGGGAAGGCAAATGCAGGTAATTAGATCACCAAAGGAAGGAAAACAGCATTGTGAAGATTTAATTGATGGCAATCTCTTTTAAGTATTTAAATGAACTTCTCCTTTTCATCAATCTCATTATCTCCTATGCAACTCTATATGATAGTTTACGGCATAGAAGTTGGCTTATCTTACGTACTTTGTTCCAAGTTATCCATTACCCATTGATTAAAAGGAGAAGCTGAGATTATACCTCAACTCAGTCTGTTGCTTTAGACCAAATTCTATGGGGTGAATTTCAAAGCTGAGATCTGAATATAAGTATATCTGACTTCAAAACTTTT